ACTGGGCAACTCATTGTCTCAAGCTAATATTGTTTAGAAAAATAACAGATCATAAATATTTCGTAGATAACTTCAAAAGATAATAACCTAATCTACCTATGCTCGACGTTCAAAATCCAATAAAATAAACTTTAATGTATCAAAATCGTTTTTATAGTCCTTAAAAACCAGTCCCCTGACGTGTCACCAAAGCAAAATGGTCACTTCAGACTAAATTAATTAAAGACAGTAACTATTGGAATCAACCTAATTGTTTAATTATTCAACCAATATTGTTTGCTTGTTATTGTGACTTATTTATTTTTTATAATTATTATTTTGTAATTCTAAAAAAGTCATCTAAACTTTGTCTCCGGATTTTATAAACAGTCCCCTGAATAGATTTTTCAGAAAATGCTCAATGTTTTCCAAAGTAATAGGACTATTTTTGGTTCATCTGCCGTATACTAATAAATAGACCGATATTTATTCCTCGAATAACATTTATTAAATACAAAAAAAATATAACAAAAAAACTTGCCTAGACAATTTCTTACTTCAAGTTGCCCAGTTTACAGAGAAACGCCCACGTAGATATGGTAGATTTTTATTTTAATTTTTATACATACAACTAAATAAAAAAGGATTGATCTAAATTGGTTGGATATAAGAAGTGTATAAACATTAATCAATCAAAATTTATGCATCAGCAAAAATCAAAATCCGCAGCGAACATACCGAATATTAGAATATAAGTCTGCAAATAATTATTATTTGTGTATAGATCATCAGTATTTGCCTAATCCGAAGATAGAATAAAAATTACTTGTGTAAAGAGTTTTTGAAAAGTTTTTTTTAAATGGGTTAAACTAGCGATGTGTGCAGTCACGGCGTTCTCTATAGAGAACGCCGTGGTGCAGTTTACACTGTGCACTAGGGTGGGCCGAAAATCCTCTTTTTTAGAATTTCGTTTAGTAATAGCAAAAATTTTGTTCATTATGTTGAAAAAAAAATTTTGTGTAAAAGATTAAAAATTTTTAATGTTAACCTGGAGTGAATGATATTGTATAAATCGGCGGATTATTTGTGTATAAAATCAAAAATTACTAATTGAAATTCATATTTGACTAATTTTCATGGGAAAAAGCATCAAATCAAATCAAATCAAATCAAATCAAATCAAATCAAATCAAATCAAATCAAATCAAATCAAATCAAATCAAATCAAATCAAATCAAATCAAATCAAATCAAATCAAATCAAATCAAATCAAATCAAATCAAATCAAATCAAATCAAATCAAATCAAATCAAATCAAATCAAATCAAATCAAATCAAATCAAATCAAATCAAATCAAATCAAATCAAATCAAATCAAATCAAATCAAATCAAATCAAATCAAATCAAATCAAATCAAATCAAATCAAATCAAATCAAATCAAATCAAATCAAATCAAATCAAATCAAATCAAATCAAATCAAATCAAATCAAATCAAATCAAATCAAATCAAATCAAATCAAATCAAATCAAATCAAATCAAATCAAATCAAATCAAATCAAATCAAATCAAATCAAATCAAATCAAATCAAATCAAATCAAATCAAATCAAATCAAATCAAATCAAATCAAATCAAATCAAATCAAATCAAATCAAATCAAATCAAATCAAATCAAATCAAATCAAATCAAATCAAATCAAATCAAATCAAATCAAATCAAATCAAATCAAATCAAATCAAATCAAATCAAATCAAATCAAATCAAATCAAATCAAATCAAATCAAATCAAATCAAATCAAATCAAATCAAATCAAATCAAATCAAATCAAATCAAATCAAATCAAATCAAATCAAATCAAATCAAATCAAATCAAATCAAATCAAATCAAATCAAATCAAATCAAATCAAATCAAATCAAATCAAATCAAATCAAATCAAATCAAATCAAATCAAATCAAATCAAATCAAATCAAATCAAATCAAATCAAATCAAATCAAATCAAATCAAATCAAATCAAATCAAATCAAATCAAATCAAATCAAATCAAATCAAATCAAATCAAATCAAATCAAATCAAATCAAATCAAATCAAATCAAATCAAATCAAATCAAATCAAATCAAATCAAATCAAATCAAATCAAATCTAATCAAATCAAATCAAATCAAATCAAATCAAATCAAATCAAATCAAATCAAATCAAATCAAATCAAATCAAATCAAATCAAATCAAATCAAATCAAATCAAATCAAATCAAATTTGTTTTAATATAAAAAATACATAATAAAAAAGACATCATAAAAAGGTTCCCAATGTGGTGATGAGGTTGGCTGTAAAAGGCGCGTGGTTATGTTATCCCGCCTCTGAAATCTTCCTGCGGAAGATCTGCATGGTACAAGTAGTCACATTGCAGACTCCTGACAGTCTTCCGTCCCTTGTTTACAAAGCACCTTAATATTTGGAATGGAATTTAACTGGCCTTTTCTTGCTGCGCAAAAACGGGGCCAGCTTGCTCCAGGTGGAAGTAATAAGCTAATTAATTAAGCAGATTAAGAAAAGGTGAGAAAAGTAAAGTGGCAAGCGGATGTCTAATCAATGGGTTACAGACAATTTTATTTTTTTTGTATATTTATCTATAAATATTAAAAAACATTTTAAAGTTAAATATCTATTTTTGTTGCGGTTTTGAACTAAACTTGTTTTATATTAATCTTTATTTTATGAGCCATTTAAACTTGTAGGCTCCATGCATTTCACGCTAACAATAGTTTGTTATTGGCCGCAAGAATTAAAAACGACTAATGAAATTAGTTACTTTTTACAATTTAAATAATAACAACTAACTATTTAAAAGTTAAAATGACTATTTCATTAGGAAACAATGTATTGAAATTGTGTAATTTTGAGTGTAGATTAGGAATATTTGAGTATGGATAAGTCATACGGATCTTACAAGGTAGATACGTTTATTTCCTAATTTGCGTAGAAACAAAATTAAGTCCATATATATGGAGGGGTCATCCATAAAGTACGTCACACGTTTAGGGGGAAGGGGATCAAGACTTTGTGACATCGTGTACCATAATAATGTTATTATGCGTAACACAGGGGAGGGGGGCGTCTGAAATCCCTAAATCCCTAAAAAAGGTGTAACGTACTTTATGGACTGCATCTTATAAGAATATTTATTCTTTTTACTTCAAAATTTTTACAGAGAAAAACTATTTCATAATATTAAAATATTAAAAAAGAAATAGATAATATCCGTATCCGTCGTATACAGATCATGTCCTTATTAACTGCTCATTGGTACTTTTTTGTTCCGTTTTAATAAAAGACCAATAATAATCGTTCTCAAAAGCCTTTGTGTTTTTTTAAATTAACCACTAAACCAAAACAATCACGTTTTATTTACTAAACAAATTTTGTATAGGTCAAGCCATTAAAAAGTTAAGGGCTTGTTAAGTTTAGTTAACTGATGTAGGATTTTAAATCACTATCACTATTTATTTAACAAGTTTTTTTCCAAAGATGGGCAATCCTACCATATGAAATCCTTAAAAATATACCCAATTGCGGTAGCAAGCAAAACCCATTTTTCTTCTTCTGTAGATCTTGGCCTTTAATCTATTTCAGATTACGGTAATCATGAGCTGGCTAAATAGGTAATCATTACCTATTTAGCCGGCTCATGATATAAAAAAACATTTTTATTTTCTTCTTGACCAACAATTGACAGATATTTGTAAACATGTGTTTTTGAGCCCATACAAAAATATAATATACTTACATCACAGACGTCTTTACTCTCTAAAAATGAATTAGTCAAAAATTTAATAGTTATTAGAGGCTGCTTTTTTACTTGTACCATGGTATCTCAAAATTTAACAGCCAATTCTTATGTAAAATTGTCCCCTGAGTTCGAAAATGTCATCAAAAGTTAAAAACGTAAAACAGTTTTTGAGATAAAGTCAATTTTCCATTTAATATGAAATTGAATATATCTCAAAAACTGCTCCACTTTTATAATTTTTGACGGTATTATCGGATTCAGGGGACAATTTTACATTGGCTATTAAATTTTGGGATACCATGCATGGATACCATGGTTAACAATGGTACAAGTGAAAAAGCAGCCACTAATAACTATTAAATTAGTCAATTTTGATTTATTCATTTTTAAAGATTAAACTGGTCTATTATAATAAAACACCTAGTTTAAAATAATACAATTTTACATGCAAAACTATTTTAATTGTTGTCTAAAATAGAGTTTTACTACCCTGAGAAAACTGTTTTAGTATCTAACTTTTTATATTGTTTAGGAATGACTACTAAATAGGAGACAGTTGTAATTCATATTTTAGGAGTAAGCGCTTTTGTGTTTAGTAAGGATTTAGTAAATACTATTTACAAACTCTTATAGGTTTAAAAACATAATACTTTGGAAATCATTACTAAACGCATTAGCGCATGTTGTCCCCAATTTAGTAACCATTCCTAAACAGTATAACAATTGCCACTTAATTAAAAAAACAGTGTTTTCCTTGTAAAATAAAAACCGTATTGTAGTTTAATATTTAAATATTATTTATATTTCCTACATTGCTCGCGATTTGTAGTTTACGGTTTTAAATTGTTTTCTTATCGAGTAGACAATTAACAATTATAGGATATTATTTTCTTTATTTATTTAAGATTTAAACTGAGTATATTTATAATATACCTACCTACTTAAAACAACAATGGATGCTTAAAAATTAATTAATACATTTAAATTTACCATGGCTATTTTTACACTAATATTTTTTTATAATAAAACGTGATATGAAAATAATCTAAGAAATAGTAAATTTGACTTTTCTTGTTTGATAACAACAAAATAGTGACATTTTTCCTGACATTTGGTGGAGTTCTTTAATTTCCGAAACCTGTTTGTTTGTCTTATAAAATCTTAATCAGTAGACAAATTGTTAAAATATTAATAAATAGAAGTTATGAAACGCGGTAGCTCAGTCAGTTTCATGCAGGCACACAATCATTATCACGGAGCAGTGAAATTCAATGTCGCATGAAATTCGCGCGTAAAATTACAACAAAAAATAAAAGACGAAATTCTTATATTTTTTATTCATTTTTTTACAATAACGTATTTAAAAAGTGATGACGTCAAACTTACAGAATTCCTTGGATAATTTGTTAGTACAATTGGGTGATTTCGGAAAATATCAAACTTTTATTTTATTCTTCGTGTGTTATGCGGTTACTCTACATTACATTCAGCAGTCCATGTGGCTTTTGTGTTCACTGCAATAAGTACTGAATATAGGTGAGTTGTAAATAAAATATAATTTTTTTTGTTTTGTTAATTTTGATCAAACTTCTCGAGACAACACTCTTGTGTCTCGTAATTTTAACGGATTCTAAAAATTTGAATAAGAATAAGAATAATTATTATTCTGGCAGGTTTATTTGTGTTAATATTTTACAAAGGAAATAAAAACGTTATACAAAAAAAAAATAAAAAAATGTACCTAACGTTTTTTAACTTTGGGGTTGTTTAAAACAACTGACCTATATTTTATATAACAATGTTCTTACTTATTTATTTTTAAAATCTTTAAAAAATGGAATTAAGGAGAAGGTAACTATAGTTACCTTCTCCTTAATTCCATTTTTTAAAGATTTTAAAAAGTAAACAATAGAAGTAAGTAACTTTTATATTATATTAATTAGCTAAGTACATAACGTCGTTGAAAATACATAAAATTGTATATAGTTAAAGCAATTTTTTAAAGAGCGATTTAAAAATTAGTGACTATATACTATATATATATATATACTATATATATATATATATATATATACTATATATACTCTTTTAAACGTCAAGATGTACCTAATATAAGAAAAAGTCTATAATTTTAAGTTTACTTGGTACTCTTTGAGCAATGTTTAAAATAGTGTAGTCACTTTTCTTTAAATTGCTCTCCTAAAATTAAAAGTTGGTGCATTTTTAACGGCGATATGGTTATAAATCACTACTTGGATGTTGGACAGTGTATGTTTTAGTGGTTCATAATACTATTATACAGTGTGTCCCAAAAATTACGTACTTACTAACGCCATATCACGTGAAGAAAATATTTAAATAAGTACAGAAAATACATTAAATTTATAAAGTAGTTTTTTAGTGTTAAAAATTAAATGTTATTATTAATTATTATTAATTGTTTTAAAATTATATTTTTATATAAAAAACAAGGACTTTTTATGAATATTTTTTTTAAATTAATAATATGTAACCAAGTTATAAATAGGTATACTTATACATTTTTATTTTTTTGACACAACATATCTCGTACTCTCTTAAAATGAATTAGTCAAAAATATCTAATTGTCTAGCGAAAAAGCAACATTTTTAACTAATTTATTTTAAGAGAGTAGTATGGCCTGCCATTTAACACCCTGTATATAAGTTAAAGCTTAACAATGTCTTATAACATAAATGTTGTTTATAATCAGTGGGAAAATTTAAAAAACTTATTTATATGCCAATGCAAAAAAAACTCCTTAATAAAACATTTATTATTTTTAATTGGCTATAACAATACTTATAGTTAGACCAAATTCGTATAATTAGACCAGATTTTTTAGATGATCAATAGATCATATCAATGTTGATAATAATTAATAATATTTATTATTTGCAATTATACAGGTTGTTATTTAAGTACGTGGCCAAACTTTAGGGGAAGATTCTTTGAGTGAGGGCGCAAAATTAAAAAAAAAATCGTTTTTACCCAAATAACTCAATATTGAAATTTTATAGTGTTATTAAGGGTAGTAAGGGGCTAATTTAGCCCTAAGTAGATTAAAATTATTAAGTCCAGTGGCGTCCCCGAAGACACCTGAATCAATATTTTTTACAAAAAAATGTGCGCCTCTAACTATTTAGCAATTTTTATATTTTTTTCACATTAAGCAACTAAAAATACAATTTCTTTATCTTTAGCATATTTTTCGTATATTGCTTCATTTTTAAGAAAAAAATATAAATAACTTTATTGCATGTTCTAATAAAATTACTACCAATCAAAAACTGGGGTGTATCTGTTATTTTTTCCATATTACTGGTCCATTTTGATGTTAAAAATTGTTTAAAAATTAATGCGAAAAATTAAAAAATGGCTAAAGGATTATTGAGATATTTGGGAAAAAACGATTTTTTTTAAGTTTTGACGCCCTGTAAGTTGAAAAAGGAGTTACTATTATTTATTTATTTTAAGACTAACACAACATTAATTGTTATTGTATCTAGACCTATAGGTCTGATGATGGCAAAAATAGTAGCCGAAATCTAGATAACAATTATATTTATTTTGGAGAAATAAAGACCAACCATATATATAATAATTGAAAATTGAATTTTCCTAATATTAAACATGAACTCCCACGGGAATCCTTCAAATGAAAAAGGAGTAGGTATTTCCGGACCTATGTTTATATGAACTTTTCGTTTTAGAATCACTCAAAAAATCGTCCCCTAAAGTTTGGCCACGTACTTAAATAACACCCTGTATAATTGCAAATAATAAATATTATTAATTATTATCAATATTATCAACATTGATTTGACACCCTGTAAGTTGAAAACGGAGCATTTCCGGGGACCTATGTTTATGTGAACTTTTCGTCTTAAAATCAATCAAAGAATCGTCCCCTAAAGTTTGGCCACGTACTTAAATAACACCCTGTATATTTTTAGATAAAATATTAATATTGTTGTTATTATCCTAAAAATTAGTCTTGGGTTTTCGAGCAAATTTGAGTATATATTTAATAAATATTTAACTTAATACATTGTTATACCTATCTTTATTAAGACACGAACCAACATTAACAAAAATTAGTTTTTTATAGATTTGGGTATGTAATGCCAAACGTAGGTAACTAATAATAATTTGTTAAAAACTAAAAACCGTGTTTGATAAAAAAAATATTTTGCTCATTCGTTTAGAGGTGCTTAATGTCGATTATCTTGAGATACAAAAAAATATATTAAATAATTTTTGGGGCAACTTTCTTTTTTGTATTAAATGCAAAAGAAAAAATAATTGTATGGGTTCTAAGGGTGATTGCAAATGTTAACACAAGTTTATTTTTAAAATGATATAGAATTTTTTTAATCATGTTTATCCATAACGTTAATGTTTATGTTTTTAAAGTCAATAACAAATGAAGTAGGTATTAATTAAATGCAAGTTTATTAAATATTTTGTTAATTTTAGAATTCATCTCTTATAAATATATTATATATATCATCTCTTATATATATATTATAATATATTATTATAATATATTATAATATTATATTTTACAATTTTACATAAGGTATAATTTTTACGGTTTTGATATTTTGGTTATTTCACAATTTTTTTTTAAACAATGAAGCTAGCATTACAAATTTCGGGTGGAGACTCCACCGTAAAGTGCCCATAAAACATTCTATTCACTTTAACTTCTATTGATCATCTTAACGGTTGTTTCGATTTTCGATTTACACACACAAATTTGACATTTTGACCTTTAATACAGATTCCCAAGTTATAAATTGTTATGCGAGTTACTTTTTTTTACTCTATACAAATATTTAATTTAAATTATTTTTAGATAATAATAAGTATTTGTCTTAGGAAAAGTGTAGTATATACTACACTGCATATATGCAACTCGTTTATAAACTTTTTTAAACACTCATTTAATTAAGCACTCTATACAAATATTTAATTTAAATTATTTTTAGATAATAATAAGTATTTGTCTTAGGAAAAGGGTAGTATACTACACTGCATATATGCAACTCGTTTATAAACTTCTTTAAACACTCATTTAATTAAGCACTCGCTCGCAAGCTCGCTCGTGCCTAAATTAAATTCTCGACTAAAAGGGCGTTTATCAAACTTAATAATTCCCCTAACCGGCTCAAGCCATTTAGTTGGCTTCTGGGACTTCTTGCCTAGATAATCAATCAATCAATCAATCCATACAAAAATTATGTTTAAGATATATTTATGGTATAAGAAAATTTGACGCAATATCTTACAAATTGTTAGACGCAAAATGGTTAAATATGAAAGAAAGACGAACACTTCATTCGGCAACACTGTTTCACTCCATAATAACAACTAAAATACCACCATATTTGAATAGAAAAATTCAGTACCGTACCGATGTTCATAACCTAAATTTAAGATTCAAAGGCCTAATATCCCCACCTGCTCATAAAACAGCAATATTTAGACGATCTTTTTCATATAATGTTTATGCTGTATACAATAACCTACCCGAACATCTTAAAACTCTAAAAATAAAACCTTTTAAATCTGCTTTAAAAAAGTTAATATTTGCGAAGCTTTTGTAAAAAGCTTATGTTTTTATATAAAAATCTTTTTTTTGTTTTTTGTTTCTGTTTAAACCTATATTTTTGATATATATATATATATATTTTCTTAAATTGTTTAATGAACCTTTCAACTACATTAATTTAGTTTCTAAATAAACCTTTTTTTCTTGGGCTGGATTAACAATCAGATTCGTCTGCCTTCCAGTCCATTTTGTTGAATTATTATTAAAATGAAATGTATTATTATTTTTTACAACAAATAAATTATTATTATTATTATTATTATTATTATTAATATTATTATTATTATTATTTTTTTTTTTTTTATTATTATTATTATATGGGCATCGACAACTAATGGTCATTAGCCCGGCTAATCAATGTCAAATTATCTAGGCATTTTTTATGTTCAGATCAGAAAAGGGTAGGTATATTAAGTGATCTTATATAATAGGGTGGAGTTGGAATAGATATCACAGGTAGGTAAGGCTTTACAAAAATTATAATCTTAACATTACATTTGTTTCTTTTAGGAAGAACAATATTTTAAGAATTTCTCTTGGATCCTCCCAACAGACCGAGTTAAGGGGATTTAGTTCTATCAGTTCGCGCGTGTCTTCATATAACGGACAATCGTTAAAAATATGTTCTATGGAAAGAAAGACATCACAGGCATTGCATTATTATTATTATTATTATTATTATTATTATTATTATTATTATTATTATTATTATTATTATTATTATTATTATTATTATTATTATTATTATTATTATTATTATTATTATTAAAGTAAGGGTGGAACTAAAAGAGCACTTTTGTATATAAACATAATATACCATTAAAATGTATTTATTAGCACAATAAAATATTATTATTAAAGAACAACTTTGGTATTCCATAATACAAAAAATATACTAAA